GGTTAGTGAATAGTGAATTTCTAAAATAATCCGTTTACTGAATTCCCCAATTTAATGTCATCAATAGAAAGTCTAAATACGTGCAATGCCATGTTGACAGGGTCGTCTATGAAACATGCAAGACTGTGTCCAAGCACACTTGAAAGTCTTCATAAATTATAAAAGAAGGCCATGTCAATATTTACAGCCATTCAAAGAAAATGTATGATCTATATTTAAAAAGTGGCATGCACCATATAAGCCACATGTGATAAATAAATGATGACAGTCCACACAACGGCTACTGAAACTGCACGAAATATTAAACACATACGAGTTAGAATTTAATTCTATGAAAGAGCAGATCAGAGAAGGGTTTCTTTAAGCCTTTAATCTTTCAGGAGGGATGGAGACAGGGACAGAAAGCTGAATCATCAGAAATAACACAGTAAACATCTACAGCTTGGGAAGAAATAAATTCACTGCCTTAAAATAAAAACAAAGACAGAAGTGTGTTTGAAGTTTAATAGCTTAAGGAGAAACATCTATAAATTACTTAATCAAGGGATTACTTCATTTATAAGAGCAATGCACATTAATTAACATTTCTGTAAATGTGGCAGTATTAGCTAACAGACTCATGTTTAACTGTAGTCCTTTGGTCAGATGTTAAAAATGCCATAAAAACATTAAAACACCCCCCAATCTTCTGTAATGACAGAAAGGCAACAAAAGTATTTATTTATTTGTAAAATGTCTCTAGAAAATATTTTTGGATGCAGGATATCTGATCATAATTAAAAGATAAATCGATTTAAAATAAAATGTAAATCAAATCATTTGTGTGTATTCTGCTATAAAGAATTACTTTTTGAAGTTGAACAAAGATTAATGGAGTTTTGTTTTACAAGAATATACTTCTTCAGGCTTTTTTTAAATTCAGAATTTCATGATTAATTCAAAGTGTTACTCACCATTTCTTTGTAATTATTTGTGAAATTTACAAGCAATTTCTAAGTCGTTAAAATTCACTAAATTGTCAGAAGTGTGGTTGTTTACTGTGCAATTACAATTTGCGGTCAGTAAGATTTTGTTGTTGTTGTCTTTTAAATAAATTAATACTTTTATTCATCAAGGATGCAGTAAATTGATCAAATAGGACAGTAAATACATTTCTAATGTTAGAAAAGAGGTTACCCACAATTCAGGAATCACAGCATGCAACTACAATGGTCAAAGCTGTCAGCTCAGATCAGAATCGTTAGAAAGTCCTGGTCTATGTAGATTTCCAGTGTATTCTTCTTTCTTAAAGACATTCTTTCAGACAGTGGAATATTGGACTCTAAAGTTCTTATAAATGAGTAGAAACCCAAGCTAATAATAATGTGGTCAATAATGTTCAGTTTCTTGCACAGACTGATCGTTTCACTTCATAAAACCTCAATATATCATCAGGAGCCACAGGTATTAATTTCGTGTTGCCTGATATGCTTTTTTGACTCTCAAAGTCACAGTTGCCATTGACTTGCATTTTATGAATCATCAAGGCCTATGCTTTCAGCTAAATATCTTCTTTACTGTTTTACTGAAGAACCAAAGTCAGCTACATCTTGGATGGCCTGAGGGGGAGTGAATTAACAGCAAATCTTCTTTATTTTTGGGTAAACTATGCCTTTAATCTGAGTTCAAACACAACATGACTAATCTGAGCTCAGCAGGAGACAGAAAGGTCATAGCCATCAAACGACATTAAGACAAGTTTTTCCTCTGCGTTCGCTGACATTCAAAGGTGCCAATCATTCAACAGAAAACAGGCATGCAGTGCAGAAGAACCAGAGGGGAAAACATCAAAATTCCTGTGTGTCATGGTCTTGGCTTAGGTTGTGTGATGGGTGCAAGTGTTCCATCACCCCTCCAGCATTTCCCACTGCGCCGGACTCCTGCTTTATCTGCACACCACAATGCAAAGCCATGCAATCACGTCCCCAAATGAACACTGCTGCAGGTATTACAGCAGGACACATTCAGAGATGAAAGCAGGCCAACAGGATGTTCAATCTGACTTGTTACAAACAGAAAGAACATGCAGCATTATAATTGGAGGCCTGCCGATGAACTGCTCACAGACTCCCAGTGGGACACCACATAGAGCCCAGAGCTCTTAAAGAGACAGCTCCCCAAAAATGAAACATTTATCATCATTCCATCACTGTTCCAAACCTGTATGGACTTTCTTGTACTAGCTGCTCTTTTACATGCAAGTACAATACATGGGACTGGAGCCTTCAAGCTTTAAAAATTGTTTTGATAACTTTCCATTTCATAACTTTCTGTGAGGCACATTTTTTTTTTATATTTAAAACATATATATATTATTAATAATTATTTAATAATAATAATAATTATTATTATTATTAAAATAATACATATTATACATTAAAAATTAAATATTAATAAAATAATATTAATTTATTAATTAATATTATTATTTGTTTTAATTTGTTATTTTACTAATATCCAATCATACAAATGAAAAAATAAAAATCAAATTCCCATTTAATAATTGCATAACATTTTAAAAAGCTTAAAAACAGCTCAAAAAGTCAGCCAGCTATTAAATTGTCAATTATTGCGCAGTCGAGTTGCTTTTTACCCCAAACCTTATACTTTTTACATTCTTCAGTTATTGAAAAACTGAGTTTTTGTTTAATCTAGTGATTTAGAGGAAAATAGTGAAATGCACCTTTTACCACTTAGCCCTGTTGTACACTACATGATAAATGAATATTATTTGTAATTATTTTATTTTTTTTCTTCCCTTTTGTAGACCACACATACACATCACAGATGCATATCAATAAATCAATCAATAAATGCAAACCTTCTCCAACTCTTGATTCTCTGATTGGAATCTGGTCCATATTTTGCCGTCAAAATTCAGCTGAAATATGAATTGTTGTGAGGCTTCACCACACCAATAAATTATAGAATATTTTCTCTGGAGCTTCTAAGTATGCAAAATTATCGGTTATCGGTATCAGCGATAAATCATAGAATATCACCGATAAACTATAGAATATTTTCTCTGGAGCTTTCAAGTATACAAATGTATCTGTTATTGGTATCAGCAATAAATTATAGAATATCACTGATAAATTATAGAATATTTTCTCAAAAGCTACGAAGTACACAAAATAATCGGTTATTGGTATTGGTGATAAATCATAGAATATCACCGATAAACTATAGAATATTTTCTCTGGAGCTTTCAAGTATACAAATTTATCTGTTATTGGTATCAGCAATAAATTATAGAATATCACTGATAAATTATAGAATATTTTCTCAAAAGCTACCAAGTACACAAAATAATCGGTTATTGGTATTGGTGATAAATTAAAGAATATTTTCTCTGGAGCTTTTATTGGTGATTGGTGGTATGAAACATTTTGTTTTGGTAATCAGGCTCTCAAAATGCATGTAAAGATTTTGATTTATCAGCCAATATATCAGTTATGAGCTTCCAAGTATATAAAATGATTGGTTATTTGGCAACGGCCAAAATTTCCATATCAGTGTATGCCTAAAAGAAAGTCACATGGAGTTTGGAACGACATGATTAAAGAACAGAATTTGGGTGAACTAAGCAGATATCCACCTGTTCTCATCAGAAATCCACCCTGGTATTTTTCTTATTTTTGTGTTCACTGTTAAAAGATAAAAATAGCCTAAGAGTGTCTTTTCTAAGTGCTGCTGTGACGAGGTCACTCAGATGGAAACACTGTTTCACCTAACTCACCTCCAGCAGCCCTGAGTGTGTGTCAGTGAGACGCGGTCATCTCATTCCATTCAAAACACTGCTGTTACTGCTAACTCAAACTAAACCTGCTACTTAGAAATTGAAATAAAGCTTTAAAAAGGAAAATATAAACATTAGACGATAAACCAACTTTAAAAAATTGTTGCCTTTTATCTAACTGCATTAAAATAAGTTGAAGTATTAAAATTACTATTACAACTACTAGAAAAAAGCACATAACTAAAGATAAAAGCACATAACTAAAATTTTAACTAAAATGAAAATGAAAACTAAAAAAACTAAAAATACAAACAAAAAATACCAAAAATACATAAATAAATAAATTAAAAATTTTAACAAATTTAAAAAAGTAGTATGATTATTATAATAGTATATAAGCCTAAACAATAATAGAAAAACATATTTTGGAGAGCAGCAGGTACACTGGTGTTTTGATTGCTGATTAGTGGTGAACATTAAAGGGGCTGTATGTAATTTTTTTAGACTGTACTAATGCATAAAACACCATGATATGTTTGCAAATATTTAGGAAACACACTAAGTTCACATACTTGTTTCTCTGAAAAACAACGCTACATACAGTTATTCTACTTTGAAAAGTGCGTTCGGTGTCGTAATGTCTGTTTTTGTCTTGGTCTGTGTGACTCCGCCCACTGCTAGTTTACCCAATAGTATTTCAACACCCCGGGTTGCCAGTTTATGGAAAACACAGTGCATTGCATCCATGGAAGCCAGCAATCGAACTGGGTCAGAGATTGCAGATTCGCAGATTCATCCGCTAGCTGTCAATATTACACACTGCATCTTTAAACCTCTGTACATACAGTGGCACAGTCAGACTTTAGGGTACTTAAATCTTTAATGTACCTTACAGTTATAAATTCATATTGCTGAAAGACTGCCTGATCTATTAACTGAGCTTGAATGTTATGTTTTCATCCATAAGCAAGTGCGGCGTTAATGAACAAAGCTGATAGCAGATTTGAGGCTTAAGTGAAGGATATTGTCAGATTTTCTTGGGTTGAGCCAGTGAGGCTCATCCTGACAGCAGACCGCAAACATGTAATGACTTCTGAGAGTTAATGCATGCTGATGGAGTTGAGTAAACTTTAGAGGTTATAAAATAAAAGACATAAAAAAACACTGTATGCAGATGATGGGAAAGCGTCTGAGAAAGACAAATAAAAGTGATTGTACTTACATGAAATAGATGGGGTATCCTCCTTCAAAATACCAGCAGTACTTCTTTGCTTCTATGCACTGCAAAAAAATATATAAAACGGGAAAAATTAATTAATTAATTAATGCATTCAAATAAAGATGCATCTAATTTACAATTATAAATTATGTCTAGACAATGTTCTGTCAAATGTTACAAAATTATTAAGATTATTATTTTAATAAAATGTACCACATCCTGGGTAAATCAACTACATATACACATGTTCTGCATCCAGATTTGAAGTGGCTCTAAAAGGTTTCTGGACACTAAAGTCACACTTAAAAATGTCTGAATGTCATTGTAGCAGATGCAAAATATCACACCAGGTGGTGTCTGCAGTTAATCAAACCACACACTGACAAACACACGCAAGCACACGCTGTAAACCTGGTGTCCTCAGTGAGGCGTTCGCTCTCAGAAGAACCAAAAGAACTTCCTCTGGCTTAAGAGGTCATCGATTCAAGAGGCAGAAACTCTTCACACACAGCACAAATCAAACAAACCGCAGATAAATAAGCTCGCTCGCTCATGTTCTAACAGCCGTTACAGATTGAGAGATTTCTTTTGTACATTCGGTGCAATTTACTTATTTAATTGGAAACTTGCTGAACAATATAAGAAATACAAAGATGAAAAGAAATGTGTTCCGTCCACAGCATCCACAGTTTTTGTATTACTGTGGAATATTCCACTGCTTGCACTGTTTTGTTGTGCGCTGACTGAACCGTCACTAAAATGTCTGTTGAGACTTGGTAGATATTTGGCAAAGAATGTGAAAGTCTAATAGAGGCACTGACGACTGCAAAAACTTGATGATGAAACCTTCAGGAAATGGGAAGGAATTTTCTGTATTTTCCATATATCCAGATAAAGTCCTGGCAGAAAATTATCAGTAGGCTACATTTCCATTTTTCTACTGATTTATTTATTTATATATATATTTTTTAAATAATGTATGTCCCTTTCTGCACTCTTTATTCCAGTAAATAAAGGTGAAAAGCTACAATTATTAAAAAAAAGATTAAATACAGTATATAGTAATAGTATACATGATAATATCAAATATAACATAAAAAGGCATAATATATTATATATATAAAAAATTCATTACAATTAGGGTCAGTAAGTTTTTTTTTTTAAATGTATGATGGTTTCCACAAAAATATTGTGCAGCACAACTGTTTTCAACATTGATAATAATCAGAAATGTTTCTTGAGCAGCAAATCAGCATATTGGACTTATCCACAATCAAGCTGCAGTCACACTGACTTGACATGAATATAATATGATGTATGTGCAATGTACTGTAAATAACATTTACAGGTTTCAGGTTGATTTCATTCCTATTACTGCCTGCAGCATAAGAGACACAAATACACTGAATGTTTTAAACGTTACTTTTTTCATTCAAAGAGCATGCACTTTATTAATAATTAGTTTTTCAAAGTTGTAACAAAAAAGGATTAAAGAAAAAACAACAACAATTAAAAACCATTACTGGAGCATGTTTCACAAGAAAATGCTATTTCTGTTTTTCTGCTTTTTTCAACTTTCACATTTAATTCAATGCATTACTCGCCATTACTTTCTAATTGTTTGAGAAATTAACTAGCAATTTCTGAATGAACTCATCAAATATCTGTATCCCCATTCAAACGAGACTTTTTGATTATGAAAAAAAAAATCTTGACTGTGTCCAACAATTAAAATCATACAACAATGGCACAATATTGACCATAATTATTTTAGTTATTTAATACACATTTAAAATAGTGACACTCAAGAAGTAGCATTATTTGGATTCTATAATACATACATTACCGTATATATATATAAACCCTGTTACATTGTAAGCAAAAAAAAAATAAATAAATAAAAATAATATATATTTTTTAATAATCTAATTGTATATTAAATAATAGTGTTGATGTTGGCTGGTGTTCAGCGATTCAACCCTGTTTACTTAAGTTATTGTAAGTTAAAAAAAAAAGAAATATAATAAAATACATCTTTTATTCAAAAATCAATATTTGTTGTCAATAACCATCATTAACTAGGCTACATTTGCAACCATTCCATTTTTTTTAATTTATGTCAAGCTTTCTATATATAAAACTTTGTATATGTACTGTATTATGATTAAGCTGTAAATATGTCCCAAATATGTATTGTTAAAAAACTGCAATATTTAACAAAAAAATAAAAAATAAAAGTTTCAGGCCTAGTTTGTAATCTACATGTGGAAAGTGCCAGGAAGAAAAACATCAAGAAAACGAAACAAGGCCGTTTTCCATCAGCGTTAGTCGTGTAATGACTAATACTGTGAACAGCAGCAAAGTCAAAGTTCACAGACTGTTTACAGCCCTGATCTGAGTGTTTGCCAAGCAATCGAGCCTGTGATGAATATGCATGAGAAACCAAACCATGTCTGACTGAATCTGCATGACGAATGCTATCGGAGGCTTTGGGACGGTCTCAGCCGCTAACACTTTCTACCCTCCGGTGTTCAGAAAGAGCTAAATTAATGACAAATCCTCCTCAGTAACCTAAAATCAATATTCATGCACTTATGAGAAGAGCTTATTTGCAGCAGCAGCATAATGAAGACAAAAGAGGGACACAAGTGAGTGCTGAAACCCTGAATAAATGCTGGAGCGTTTAAGCGCTTTGTTGATGACATTAGCTCAGCGCTGACGTGATATACTGCATAAGCTGCTCAGTTTCATCTCCTGTCTCAGTGAATGCATCCTAAATGGAAAACTGAACTAAAGTCAAAAGTCTGGCTACTGTACATGAGACTCGTTGATTAGTGTGGCCGTCCTCAACAACACCGACTGACCAGAAACATACTGTATGCAATGCTGAATAACGCGTTTGGTCAAAATGTACAGTAAAAATACATTTTGAAAAGCATGCATAAAAGAGCTCACTTGAACACCTCACAAATATGACTTGTCTGGATGCTGCTGATACAGTCTGATTTCTTAACATTAAACTCAAACAGACACATTTACACCCAATACAATTAAAAACACCCTCATTTAAATAAAAGAATTGGAGAACATAATAAACCCTTGTGAAAAAACAATTGCATTTAAAAAAAGAGCACTTATTAGAGAAACACTTCAATTGAATATTGACACTTAAGTGTATTATTTCTGTAATAAGTGCTCTTTATAAAAGTAAGCGCAAATGTTTTTGAGCACTTAATTGCATGTGTATTGCAATTAAATGAAAATATATTACAGTTTAAATGTATATTAAATATAATTACTTAGATTCAGAGTGCTTTTCACCTACTTAAGTAGGACTTAAGGACATTTATACAAATATTATACTTTATAATTTATAATATAATTTACATATATTATATATATATATAATATTATATAAAAAATTATATATATTTTAATGTAATGAAACGCGTATGTCATGTATTAAAATATATTTGTAATGATGAAGTTGCAATTTAGTACATTTAAAATATATTATCGAATAACACACTATAGTTAAATTATAATCAAGTAGCCTAGTTTAGTATGCTTTAGTATGTTAGTCAACGCATCAAAATAAGTGCCGTTTTTAAAGCACAGCAAAAGATTATTAAAACATTATTAAAAAGGTAAAAAGTAACATTTTAATAACAGGGTTGAATATTTTACTTTTATTATCACAAAGTTTACTTTTTAAAAGTGTACTTAAATGCACACACTTAAACAACCTTTTCATCCATTAATATTATATCATCAATCAATCAATCAATCAATCAATACATTTGATAACAAATAAAAAAAAAAAAGAATAAAAAAAATCTACAGCATTTTAAAAGCATGTGACATACTGTAATCCTACTAACACTTTAGATTAAGGAACACATATTCACTATTAAAGGGATAGTTCACCCAAAAATTTAAATTCTGTCATTAATTACTCACCCTCATGCTGTTCCAAACCTGTGAGACCTTCGTTCATCTTCAGAACACAAATAGGTATTTTTGATGAAATCTGAGAGCTCTCTGACCCTTCATAGACAGCAAGGATATTACCACGATCAAGGCTCAGAAACATAGCAAGAAAATAATATAAAATAGTCCATGTGACATCGTACAATTTTTAACCGAATAAAGTTACGACTGCATCTAAAACTAAGTGTTTTCCTTCAATACACTATATTTGCTCAATAGTAAATACTATTGACTAAATAAACTATACTATACTAGTACAATAAATTACACTTACTCAATAATAAGTACAGTAGTTGTTGTAATAGTTCTGTTTAGGTATTGGGTTAAGAGATCTAGAATATGCTCATGCAGAATAAGACATTAATATGTGCTTTATAAGTACCAATAATCAGCCAATACACTAGTAATGTGTATGCTAATAAGCATCTAGTTAATAGTGTATAGTGTTCCCTAATCGAAAGTGTTACAAAAAAAAAAGTTACGTTTGTTACATTCCGTTTCTCCCAAACACTGCTATAACATTGGCAGACCTTCTGATTCTCTCTGGGATAAAAATAAAGTTTTGGTGCTAAATGACACACATTATTCCACTATGCATGACGAAAAAACAAAGCTGATCTCAACGGTCCATAATTAGCAGAAATCTCTGGTCAAGATCCGAAAGGTCACAATTTAGGACGTCAGCGAGCCATGACGAAGACTGCAGCGTTCTCCCAAGAGTTCTTATGCACGGCCACATAATGATAGTAGCTTTAAGACTAAATCCAATCAAATCTCAAGCTCTTCTCACCAGGAAATCTAGAGGGAAGAAGCAGAACCATTCTCTCAGTCTGCTGTTTGTGAGCAAGCGTTCAGGCCATGAGTTGTGTGTTTTGTTTAGAGAAACACTGTCAGCTTCAGCAGAGGGACGAACGCCAGGCTTCTCATTCAACACGCAGATCTGGACTGGAATAAACACAGAATACAGGCACAGAATCACAAATGCTCTAATTGCTTTTGGCTAAAGAACAACAGTTTCATAAGAGAGGCCAACAGGGACCGAGTTTGCTGGGTTAAGTTCGGTTGTGTCTTA